GAGGAAGAAGAGGGCAGAGGGGCCGGGGTCGTGCTCCCCCGTCCCTCTATTAAAGCACGTAGGGTGGAGGAAGGAGGAAGGGTCCTCCTGGCTGATGTTTGCGTGAGGTCTGGGCAGTGGGGATGTTTTGGAGGAACGCTGGTAGTCCCGTTGTCCAGAGGGGAAGAGATCTGCAGAATGAGGGGAAAAAAAAACCCAAAAACCCAAGTGGTGACTTTTGGAGGAGAGAAGTGGAGGCATGAGTGGGTAGAGGGCTGCCCAGGAGGGCAAACTGAGCTTGAGATCTTCAGACCCTCACCATAGGCACTGGGCGAAGTTCCTAAACTAGCAATAAACAGAAGTGTCCTGCTGGCCCAGAGCCAAGGGGAACCAAACTTGCCCTGGTTCTGAAGGACCCAGCCCCAGCACTGCTGGGAACAAGCAGATGTTGGTCAGGGAATTCACCCGTGTTCCTTCAGACCACTTCCTCGGTTGATGAATCTCTTTGGCTGGGTCACAATGCCTTGCTGGAACCTGGGTAGTGCTGGTGTCTTCACTTCAGCTGTCCTCCTTGTTCCTGAGTGATCCAAGCCAGAAACTTGACCTGCAACTAGGCCTCCCGTGTTTGGATTCCGTTAGACAAGTCGTTTTGTGAAGTCTCCCCGATTTTAGACGACCTAATGTTGTGCAATGTCATCGTTTACTTGCCATGTTCACAGGCACGTTCCTTTTCTTCCGTGGGCCTTCCTCTTTTTTGGAGTGATCAGTTCCAGTCCAGTCCCAAAAAAGCTTTTTGGGGAGATCACATCCCCTGGTTATCCCAAGCCGTATCCCAACAATAACATCAGCATCTGGAATATCCACGTCCCAAAAGGCTACGTGGTGAAGCTGACCTTCAGATATTTTGAGCTGGAGCCATCTGAGTCCTGCTTCTATGACTATGTTAAGGTATGTACCTGGGCCAGGGGGTGGCTGGAGATGGGAGTCTAGTGGTCACCACATGCAATGGCTCTTCATTCACCAGGCCTCCTCTCATGCTTCCCACAAAGGAAAGGGAAGGAGTTAAAGGGTGGAGCAGGTACTGGCAACTCATGGCAGGGTAATAGTGATGCGTGGAGCAGGCTGGATGTTAGGAGGCTCCAGTGGTTTCCCCTTAACCTTGACAGATCAAAGCAGACAAGAAGAACTTGGGCCGATACTGCGGGCGGCTTGGGTCAACCACAGGCAATCACCCAGGAAGAAAGGAGTTTGTATCCAGGGGGAACAGGATGCACCTGGCGTTTCACTCTGACTTCTCCAATGAAGACAATGGCACCGTGATTCCCTACAGGGGCTTCCTGGCCTACTACCAAGCTGTGGGTGAGTAGACAATACCCTCAGCATGCAGAAAGAAGCGTGTGTGGCTCCAACCTATTTGCCGGACAAGGCAAGGATATGGATGTCTCTGTATTTTCAGTGTACCGCAGAGAGGTTTAACACTTTTCCCCCCTTGTCCCTGCATCTCCTATGTCTTTAGATCTTGATGAATGTGACCCTAAAAATGCTGCTGAGGAAGACGAAGCACCTCAGTGCCAGCACTTCTGCCACAACTATGTGGGTGGCTACTTCTGTTCTTGCCGGACTGGCTACCAGCTTCAGAGCGACCACCACTCCTGCAAAGGTAAACTGAAATTTTGAAAGGTCAGAGGGTTCCAGGGAAGGAGCCCTTCAGCCAGGAAGGGTGGGAGAGGTGACTCAGGGAGCAGTTGACAGCTACAGAAGACACAGCTCCACAATGTGACCCCTACTTTCTTCCTCTACACCAGTGGAGTGCAGCAGTGAGTTGTTCACAGAGGCGTCTGGGTACCTGAGCAGCCCTGAGTACCCCCACCCCTATCCCGAAGACCTCCGGTGTAACTACAGCATCCGTCTGCGAAAGGGCCTGTCTATCATCCTCAAGTTCTTGGAACCCTTTGAGATTGATGATCACCAGCAAGTCCACTGTCCTTATGACCAGCTCAAGGTACTGGAGATTGGCGAACTCTTACTTCCAACCCTGCTCCCAGACCTGGACAGGAGTTGTGGGGACACCACGATTCAGATGAGAAATGCAGGATCTGGACAAGGAGAATGCCCCAGCATGGAGGACCGAGCTCTTCCCTTGTCCCTCCCTCAGTGTGTTTAATTACCGTTGTCCTGAGGTCAGAGGCTCTGGGTCACAGGCCCCTGTGAGTGGAGCCCAAAAAATCGTCCTTCTTCCAGTTTTATCTCCTTTTGACTTAATGTCTGGATCTGAAGGTGTTGATATCTGTCACCCATGGTAGGGGAGATGCAGAGCTTATGGTAGGTCAACCCTTTGTTACAGACATCAGAAAAGATGGGTCAGACAACCAGTGCTGTCCACCGTCACAGGAGCTATGGCAACTTACTCTGGATTGAAACAGGGATACTGGGGCAGAGAGGCATGTGTGTTTCTGTCCCTCTGATACGTATTTTCCTCATCAGATCCAAGCACGAGGGAGAGAGATTGGCGAATTCTGTGGCAAGGAGTCACCTGGCAGGATTGAAACCAACAGCCATGAGGTGGACATACTCTTCCTCACCGATGAGTCAGGGTTCAGCCGTGGCTGGAAGATCCACTACACCTCGGAGAGTAAGGTGTTTCTTCCCCAGAGGCTACTACAGCCTGTCTACACCGCTTGTTAATACCAGCTGACTTTGTCCCATTCTGTAACAGAAATACGGTGCCCACAGCCTGTCCCACGGGATCAGTTCACCATCATCAGAGACCCGCAGCCTGTGTACCAGTTTCAGGACTATTTTGTCGTCAGCTGCAAGACTGGGTATAACCTGATGGAGGTGAGATCCCTTCTCCGCTCCCTCCAGCCATACTCTGGCTTCGCTTCCGTTTGCGTAAGGCTTTCACCTTTCTGTAAGACTTTCTTTGGAGATCTCACTCCTGGCAACCTCTTGCAATTTCTGATTCTTCCTTGCTTCTATCGGCTTTCTCCCAGTGTTTTCTCCTTTCCTAGCTCCCTTCCTTATGCAGTTACTGTTTCACGAAGCCCTGGTAGAAGATGAGAGACAAAAAGACTGATCCCAGGAGACACTGGTAAACAAGAACATCTCTTTGGAAGGATGTGAAAGCAGAAGATGTTACCTGCCTCCCTTGCCATCCTATTGCCAGGACTGGGTAGCACCTCAGACTTGTCATGGTTTTATGGTTGGTGGCTGCTGATATCTTGGCCTGCTGGGAAGAATTTGTAGCCTGTGGCGAACACAGGGTAGAGAGAAGGCAGCAAAGGGAGAGGACAGCAACTGGAAGAGACTGCTGAGGGACAGCTGTTGGGCAGCAGTGAAAAAGATGGGCAGATTGAACAATATTTTAGTGTGGGGAAGGGAATGTCAGGCTCTGTACAACCAACAGTGATGTTTTTCTCTTCCACACAGGGCAACCGAAAGCTGCTGTCCTTCACGGCTGTCTGCCAGGCCGATGGGACATGGCATCAATCCATGCCCCGCTGTGAAAGTGAGTGGTCCAAGAACAGGGATTATGCCCCCTGATGTGGCTTTACCCCTCCAAGAGCAAGGGGTGTTCAGCCTCTGTGACTCAGTTTGCCTGGGGCCATAGGCTCGTGGATATGCTGGTCTGAAGGATCTGTGGAGGTCCACTGTTGACTTTCATTACATTCTTCTGCTTGCAAAAACTTAAAATGTTTTTCCTCCCTTACAAAAAATGCGTAGAACGTCACAAAAAAAGTTGCTATCATGTTGTAACATCTAAAAGCAAGAGATCCCAGTTCCGGATCCATTTTGGAAGCTGTCTTTGATTCACTTTTTTTTTTTTTTCCCCTTTTTTGCAGTTGTGAACTGTGGCAACCCTGCAGACCTGACCAACGGGGCGTTCAGCTATGTTAACAGACTCATGAACAACACCTACCAGTCAGTGATCACATACCGGTGCAATGAGCCATATTATCAAATTGTCACCAGGACAGGCGGTGGTGAGTCCTAATCCCACACGGACATTGAAATCTGTGCGTGGAAAGCCCTCGGAGATTTCCAGCTGGGATTGTCTCTGCTCCTCAGGCTTAGGGCTCTCCAACCTTTCCTTGGCTCAGCGTAGCTCCTGGAGGCTTCTTGTCTCAGCCTCTTCCCACCCTGCTTCCTTCCCAGGGTCCATCACATCCCTCCTCCACGCTCTCCTTAACTTTTTCAGAAGGTTTTATTCTCTCATCCATAGTCATGATTTTTTTCTTCCTTAGTGGATTTCGTTCTGTCACTGATATTTGAGGCATAGTGACTGGGAATCACCAAAATTCCGAAACCTCATCATAGAATCATAGAATGGTTAGGGCTGGAAGGGACCTTCAAAGGTCATCTAGTCCAACCCATCACGCCAGTCCGAGTCGCTACAGATGCAAATAAATAAACTCACACTCCACTGGAATGCTCTTTACCTTTTTGGAATATTGTCCAGCAGCAGAGACATCTAAGGACTAAATAGCAGACATGCAGAAAAATTTGGTTTTATGTAGCAGGTCAGAAAACAAAACCATTCTCATGCCTTTTTTTGGCACCTGTGATTTGGTGACACAGGAGCTTTGGTTACGAGAACAGTATAACGAATTTGTGATTTCCTCGCCTTGGATGCTCACTTAGCCTCCATCAAAAAAAAAAAAAAAAAAGTAGATTTTTAAGCTGAATCAGTTCCTGGAAGCGGTTGCCAGCATGACCCCACAGTTGTGCAGCGTGGCTGAGAGGTGACGTGCTGGCACTGGGGCCAGGAGCACACAGCTAAGGAGCTCTTTAAGTTGGTCCTAATGTTGAATTGGATTATTCTTGTGTCTGAGTTTAACTCCTTCCTGAAGAGCCAGAGCTCAATCTCCTTAGAAAAAAAAATCAGGAGCAGGTAAATGTCAGCACCAGCCAACTTTTGATGGGGGATGACTGTGATTTAGTCAATTTTGAAAGAGAACAGCAAACAGTTTCTTGGAAGCATTTAATACAATGTAAGATAAATTGTATATAAATTATTTTTAGTCACCAGCACAAACTTTCTAAGAAAAGCAAGAATGGTGGAGGTGGTGGAGTTTGTGTAGAGAGGGGACATGCAAGTTAGCTGACCTCAGAAACAGATACTGCAAACTTCAGAGAGCAGAATCTTGAGTCTAAAATCCATGTCTTTACTTTTTCTCTCCCTTCTTTGGGCTAAATAAGGTCAAGCAGTGCTCTCTAAGCATGTGGCTCTTCAGGCTTCTCTTCTACAGAAGCAGTGCCTGAACTTGACTGGTCACCTGGAACGGAGGTGCTTCGAGATGCACGTGCTATCCCAGATGGAGACTAGACTGTACCACAGGCTTGGATCTCTTTTTCTGGGAAAAGGGGTCTTTGGGATGGAAGGGCTGAGTGCAGCATGTGGGACACCTTGGAGAGAGGAACCCTTGAAAATATTCCATTCTACTCCAATTCTACTCTAATTCTACTCTAATTCTATTCCATTCTTTCCACTCCATGCCTGCAGGCATGGGTCTCATTCACTTCTGTCTTGTCCTACAGAAAGATTCACCTGCTCTGCTGAGGGAACCTGGGTGGATGAAGATGGCCAGGTGAGGATTCCTGCCTGCTTGCCAGGTCAGTAAAATCAGGAAGATCAGTAAAAATCTCTGACTTCTGGTGTTTCCCGATTCATGCTTGCAGTCAGTACAAAACTGGGACAACGTGCAGGGAGGGGAGTGAGGATAATGGTGTCAGTGAGGGAGGACGGGGAAATCCATCCAGGAAGACAAAAATAAGGTGAAATCAAGTAGGTGTAGAAAGGAGAGAGACAAGCCACGGCAACAGAGGGTGTCATGATCTCCTTGCATTTCTCCACAGTGTGCGGGAAGCCAGTCAATCCCATTTCTGAAGTCCAGCGGATCCTGGGTGGCAAGTCAGCAAGGAGAGGCAATTTCCCTTGGCAAGCTCTGACTGGCATCGATGGACGAGGGGGTGGCGCGCTCCTGGGCGATCGCTGGATCCTGACCGCTGCCCACACCATCTTCCCCAAAGCGTCAGGAAGGGAGAACGTAAGCCTGGACCAGAAAGCAGAGAAGGCCAACATATTCCTTGGCCACACCAACGTGGATGAGCTCCACAAGATGGGCAACCACCCTGTGCGTAGGATCTTTATCCATCCAGATTACAACCCTGAAGATGAGCACAACTTCAACGGGGACATAGCGCTGCTGGAGCTGAAACACCCAGTAACGCTGGGCCCTACGGTACTGCCCATCTGTCTCCCAGATCCTACCAACACCACGTTCTACATGGATGGGCACGTGGGCTACGTGAGCGGCTTTGGTGTGGATAAAAACTTTATTTCAAACGATTTGAAGTACGTGAGCCTACCGGCGATTGCTCGAGAGAAGTGTCAGAGGTGGCTGGACAGTAAGAAGAGAGACACACCTATGGTCTTCTCTGAGAACATGTTCTGTGCTGGCTTCCTCACAGTCAAACAGGATACCTGCCAGGGGGACAGCGGGAGCGTCTTCACGGTGTTGGACAGAGAAAGCGGTCGCTGGGTGGCTACTGGTATTGTTTCTTGGGGTATCGGCTGTGCCGAAGGTTATGGCTTCTACACCAAGATCCTCAACTATTTGGACTGGATCAAAGGGATAGTAAGGGAGGACGGGCTCTAAATGTTGCTGTCCCACTAGCTGAAGAATCACTGATAGCATATAAATTCCCAGACACAGCAAATCATATCTAAAGCTTTCGATGATGTCCCAAAGGCTTTTCAAACACGCAGACCAGGTAACCTTCATCATAAGTACTTCTGAAAGCCACCATATTTGTCTGATGAGTTCTTGGTGGTCCCATCAAAACGTACCGAAGCTGCCGTACCATTGGCAGACGTACCATTGGCAGCTTGTGGAACGCCTTTGTGGACGTTCTAGTTCTTCCAAATCTTATTCCTGAATGAAGCCTTAATAACACCAGGAAATCTCATGACAGCAAACATGTTATTGTTTGAAGTGCTGACAACATCATCAGTCTACTTTTGTGCTCTATTACGTGGGAAGCTTGCAGGGCAGCAGACTTTCTTGAAGGATGTGGTCCTTTGTGCTGAGAACAGCGTGCATATGCCCATTGGCATCAGTGAGAGTCTATGAATATTAAAAGCATTGCTGGAGAAACAAGGTGTGTTACGTTTTTCTGTCCTTTTTTTTTTTTAACAACTACTAAATATTCCCATTACTGAAAGCAATTTACGGACTTTATATAGGGATTGGAGCATCTCTCCTATGAAGATGGTCTGAGAGAGTTGGGGCTCTTCAGTCTGGAGAAGAGAAGGCTCCGGGGAGACCTTATTGCAGCCTTCCAGTGCCTAAGGGGCTACAGGAAAACTGGAGAGGGGCTTTGGACAAGGGCGTGGAGTGCCAGGACACGGGGCAATGGCTTTAAACTGAAAGAGGGGAGATTTAGATTAGATACAAGGAAGAAATTTTTCCCTCTGAGAGTGGTGAGGCACTGGCACAGGTTGCCCAGAGAAGCTGTGGCTGGCCCCTCCCCGGGAGGGGTCAAGGCCAGG